TCTACTAAAGTGATTGGGGAGATGGGCTATGATAGCAAATTGATTGTGGAGGCTATGGGGTTTGCGAGAGGAATTTGGGTTTTATGGGACTCAGCTGTTTGTACTTTAACCCAGATCGATGCTCACGCCCAGTTCCTTCATGCGCAGGTGAATATTCCCGGAGGGACGAGAGTTGATTGGCTCCTTACATCTGTTTATGCCAATCCGGCCCCGATGCAAAGAAGAGAGTTGTGGCATCACATTCGGGAGATGGCGGTTGATCAGAATAAGCCTTGGATCCTAGTCGGAGACTTTAACTCCATCCTCCACCCGTCTGAGAAATTGGGAGGGGCAGATTTTGATGCGACCAGAATACTAGACTTTCAAGATTGTGTCAATGATGCTAGACTATCGGACCTGGGATACAATGGGCCCCCCTTCACTTGGTTCAGAAGGGGACTTCGGGAAAGACTCGATAGAGCGCTGGTAAATAATGAGTGGGCCAACCATTATCCGGAGACTGCAGTGTGACATCTCCCTCGTATCAAGTCAGATCACAGGCATCTGTTAATTTCGACAATGACGGCCCACCACCCGGCATGGCCTAAACCGTTTAAGTTTCTGGCTGCCTGGCTATCACATGAGGACTTCGAGAGAATGTTGAAGGAAGCTTGGGCTAAGGGTTCTGAATTCCACCAATCGGCGGAATCCTTTGCCTTGGATGCAGCCAAATGGAACTTTGAGGTATTCAGTCATATCCAACGCAAGAAAGAGTCCCTTCTCCGAAGACTGGATCGTTTGGAGAGGCGTGATGGGGTCTAAACAGCTCTCCTCAACAAGACCAGGTTCGAGACCAACTTGAACTCATTCTTTTCCAAGAGGAGTTGCTGTGGTGTCAGAAAGCAAGGCTGGAGTGGATTGCCTCAGGTGACAGGAACACAAAGTATTTTCATCGGCGTACTATTCAGAGAAGGAAGAGGAACCACATTCCCTCCCTGAAGAATGAGGTCGGCGAGTGGGTGGAAAAAGAGGCCAAACTCCAAGCTATGGCGTTGGAGTACTTTTTGGGATTGTTTACGGACGAGGGGGGCGAAGTCGAGCATTTGATACACAGTTTCCCGCCAATCGACGTTGCTCGTCTTGACAGTTTGGATGGAGTCCCCACTGTCGCCGAGTTGGAAGGGGTTATCCGCCAAATGGGAGCGCTGAAGGCCCCGGGAAAGGATGGCCTAAACCCACTCTTTTTCCAAAAGTGTTGGTCAACGGTGGGAGCATCCATCACTGCTGGATTGATCATGCAAAAATCAAAGAGATCAACTCTACTATCCTAGTGCTCATTCCGAAAGTGATGACTCCGTCAAAGATTGACCAGTTCCGGCCTATTAGCCTCTGCAATGTTGCGTACAAGGCTTTAACGAAGTGTTTGGCTGAGAGATTGAAACCCCTGATGCCCGATTTGGTCCATGAGACAAAAACTAGTTTTGTCCCCGGACGCCATATTACGGACAATATCTGCATTCTCCAGGAAGTTATCCATTCAATGAGAGCCAGGGATGGCAATGGGGCGGGTTTGGGGAGGGTTTGCCTAAACCATCCCCATCCCCGCTTTTAAATATCCAATCCCGTACCCGCCCCATACCCATGCGGAGGAAGGGTTTGCAAACCCATCCCCATACCCGTGGGTTTCGGGTACCCATGGGTAATACCCGCCCCGTACATCCAACGTCATTGTACCAAAAACTTTACATGCAAATTTTCAATTATAACACTAAACAGACTTACTATATCATTAATTTTACAAAGATACAATCATTTTTAATACGTTTCAAATCCTATGATCCTAAAACACCTATTATTCAATAAGATAGGGTATAATATTTTCCAAATCATTAGTTTCTAACTCTGATACATCTACTAAGTAATACTTACCTAACATAATTATCTTGTTAATAAGAGGAAAAAGTGAAAGAATGAAGGGAAAATTCATGTAAAGGAATAGATTTGGATTTGGGTGGTCACTCAATTGTATTTACACTATATATTGTCTTAAGTTACCTTCACTAGCATTGATAGGTTTCAATTTGATCCATGTATTTTTTATATGTGAAGAAAATATTCTTGGTGGGGCGGGTATGAGTATGGGTATGGGGCGGGGAGGCTAAAACCATACCCGCCCCATACCCATCAAACTTTTTGCGGGTTTTACCCATACCCGCCCCATACCCAGTCAATGCGGGGATTCCCCGCGTTGACTGGGTCGGAGGTGGGTGGGTACCCGCGGTCATGGGTTTGATTGCCATCCCTAATGAGAGCTAATCAGGGAAGAAAGGGGTGGATGGTACTGAAAATAGATCTTGCCAAAGCATACGATCGAATCCGGTGGGACTTCGTACGCCAAACCTTGGAAGCTACGGGGATCACTCAAGTATTCATCGATATTACTATGGCCTGCATCACCACCTCCACAATGCAGATTCAATGGAACGGAAGTCTGACAGGCGAGTTTACTCCATCACGAGGACTCAGACAGGGATGCCCTCTTTCCCTATACATTTTTACTCTATGCATGGAAAGATTAAGTCATATTATTAATGAGTCTATCAGTAATGGGGATTGGAGGCCGATCAGGCTTGTCAACGCAGGACCAGAACTGTCACATTTGTTTTTTTGCAGATGACCTGATCCTGTTTGGTGAGGCCTCGAGTGCGCAAGTTCAGGCGATTAATCAGTGCTTTGAGACCTTTGGTGCAGCCTCAGGACAGAGAATAAGCAAGCCTAAATCCAGAGTGTACTTCTCCAAAAATGTGACGGAGTCAAGAGCCGTAACTCTTAGCCAGGAGCTTGATATCCCGAGAACGTCGAACCTAGGGAGGTATTTAGCGGTGCCGGTGATCCATGACAGAGTTTTGAAGGCAACTTATACAGCGTTGATAGACAAGATTGACGCTAGACTTGCAGGGTGGAAGGCTTCAACCATGAGTATGGCGGCGAGAGTAACGCTAGCTCAATCGGTGCTAGCATCCCTCCCGACCTACACAATGCAGACGTCCTTCCTACCGGCCGACGTTCGAGAGTACATTGACAAGAAAGTAAGGGTGTTTGTGTGGGGGAGCTCGGATTCAGGTCGCAAAGTCCATTTAGTGGATTGGAACACAATTTGAAATTATAAAGATGAGGGTGGGTTGGGGCTCCGCGATGCTACGAGATGCAATGAAGCCTACATGAAGAAGATAGCTTGGAGATTGATTACAAGTCCGAACGAGCTGTGGGCTAGAGTTATCCGCTGCAAATACTTGAGGGAGACATATTCGGGGCTAGTAATTCGTCGAAGTGGAAGGCTCTCAAATTTGTGGAGATGTGTTATTCGGGTTTTGGAAAAAATTGAAAAAGCTACGACCTGGACTGTCCGAAATGGGAAAAAGGCAAAATTTTGGAGAGATAGATGGCTGGGAGATAGCGAACCCCTCGCTACCTTTGCACCTGATCTCCCGGCGGAATTGCTCGACCGACCCATCGTTGACTTCGTACTGAATGGTAGGTGGAACTCTCAATTCTTAAAATTCTACTTACCGCAGCATATTGTTTTGCAGGTGGAGCTGCATCTCGTGCCGCAGGAAAGCGAAGATGACTCGCGCTGCTGGAGATTTTCGGAAAATGGCGAGTTCACCTTCAAATTAGCATACGAACTGACAAATGAGGAGGACCAGCCGCATTTCCACCATCCCATCTGGCGTGCCCTGTGGAAAGTACCCTCAATGCATCGGGTACGAACGTTCTTGTGGCTGGCGGCTCGTCAGCGTCTTCTTACTAATGCGGAAAGACATCGTCGCCATCTCACTAGCAACCCGACTTGCAAGATTTGCGGAGGACAACCTGAAACCATCACCCATGTGCTCAGAGACTGCCCGTTCGCTAGAGCAACCTGGGCGGAGCTGTTAATGGACGAGCCGGGCGAGAAGTTTTTTGAACCTGACCTGCACCGCTGGCTCCACTACTACATTACAGGTAGGAGCTCCAAAATTGATGCTACACTTTTTGCGATCACGTGTTGGCTTTTGTGGAAGAACAGGAATAGCTTCTGTTTCGAGGGGGAATTGCAGACCTATGCCCAAATCCAGTATCATTCTCTTCAGCTACGGCAATAGATCGCTACTGCCTTCGAGAAGGAGAGTTCCGTCGTTCTTGATGGGGGACACCAACATATTCCCTACATCAGCTGGCAGCCACCACCACTCGACTGGGTGTGCCTGAATACAGACGGATCTGTTACTCACTCTCCTTCCAGCACGGCTGCAGGCGGCATCGTGAGGGGAGGCGATGACCATTTCATCAAAGCCTTTGCGGTGAATCTTGGGGGAGGTTCCATTGCCCGTGCAGAGCTGGCTGGAATTGTGCATGGTCTAAGACTCACATAGGAAACTGGAGCTAGGAAAGTTCTTCTACAAACCGACTCAGCAGCAGCTGTGAGCATCATCGAGAAGGCAACACACCATCATCCGCACTACACTGCGATTGCGGAAATCAGAAGCTGGTTAAGTAAAGACTGGCAAGTTGAGATAAAGCACGTCTACAGAGAAGCCAATGTTGTGGCAGATTATCTTGCTTCCTTAGGTCATCTTTGACCAATTGGTTTACATGTTTTTGATAACCCGGACAATACTTTAGCCTACTGGTTGTATTATGATGTCATTGGGGTACAAACCCCTCGTGCAGTTTATGAATAAAGGTTGGAGCGCCCTTTAAGCGCTCCGTTTCACACCAAGAAAATAAGGGTTAATATTTTCGTATGACCTGAACTTTGACAAAAATAAACATCCTGGCCAATCTTTTCGATCTATAACATCCTGGTCCGAACTATACACCAAAATAAATAATTTGGCCAACGGTTAAACGCGTTGACTAACGGTCAACGCGCCACATCACTGCCACGTCATTGCCAAGTTAGAAGATCTGATAAATATTTAATTTTTTTCATTTTTTATTTTTGGTTTAACTAAGGTATTAGATGATTTTTTTAATTTATAATAATTTAAAATGAGAGAGCTACTATGAATTTCCTCTCACTCATCCTCAATTCCTCATCCTCCGCCACCTCTTCACCTCCGACCTACTCCGCTTGCTCCGTCAAATCTTCAAACCCGAGAAATCTTCAATCCACATAAAATTACTGGGAAACGTTTCTCTGTCTACCCTTCCAATCTGTTTTTTTTAAATTCTTATATAGCCTTGCAGTCTCGATCGCCTTCGCTTTCGTCATAGCTGCTAGCCTGCTACAGTTTGCCCTCGGTCTTTTCGCCTAGTAGCAACTCTTTCTTTGTTCTCCGCTGTCGAATTGGACTTGGATCTGTGTAGTTTCAGTGGTCTGTCTCTGTAGCTAACAGGTGGAAAGCAGGTAGTGTCTGGCCGTGGTGGGGAGAAATGGGGACGGTGACGTCGACGATGGCGGCGAAGTTCGCTTTCTTCCCGCCGACTCCGCCTTCGTATCAGGTGGAGGTAGACAAGGCGAGTGGGAAGGTTAAAATGGTGGGGCAGGGGATCGGCGTCAAGGAAAATGTTGACGTATGGAAGTTGGACACGAAGAGAGGGAATCAGGTAGTGGCGGTGTATTTTAGGAACCCCGCCGCTTCCCTCACACTTCTCTACTCTCACGGTAATGCTGCCGATCTGGGGCAGATGTACGATCTGTTTAGTGAGCTGAGTTTGCATCTCCGAGTCAATTTGATGGGGTCAGTTCCTCAGTAAATTTACTCATAACAATTGGATTTCTTCTCTTCTCTCCGATTTGCATCTAGATTTGTGTGTTATTTTCAAAGATGAAATTGGATGAATTGTGCGCGTGTTGTGCAGGTATGATTACAGCGGATATGGGCAGTCGACGGGAAAGGTACATGATTTGCTTTGATCACCTCGTCTTCTACTTTGACTGGTTTCCATTATTACTTCTCCACTTCACGACCTTATTATAGAATTAGAACTGGTATTATGCTTAAGAAGTTTCCTTATGTAGAAAGGTTTGTTCCTTAAATAGTTAGATGTAATTAAAGAATACATAAATCATGGATGCCTTAGGATCTGAAGCACTACGGAGTAACATAAACCGTAGCAAGTGGAGAGCAAAGAATAGTTCAAATCAGAGAGGAGAATGAAGTAAATGTAGAGCTCATTGCTTGTAGAAGCCAGTACTAAGTCTCCAAGCGGTTTAGATGGGCAAGGAGTAAAGAATCGTATCAAACAGCTGATGTCTGATTTGCTTCTGTATCCATGTCTTCTGAGCCTCCATTCATCTTCACTAATTGTTACTTTTTTGTTTGAATATTAAGTAAAGGGTACTTGCTGGTGGTATTTGTTTTGCAATTGCAGAGGTAGTAGCATGGTTGTGGTCACAATGCCATCTGAATTCCTTGGAAATTCACTATTCAGGTTTATTTTGGAAACATATTCAAGATGGGGAAAAGGAACAACAACAAAAAAAAAAAAAAAAAAAAATTCGCCACGAAAACTCAGTTTTGTTTCTGATCAACCAGTTCAGAGGTTCTAGTTCGTAGAGAGAGAAATGATACACAAACTAGAAGAGACAATCCCAAGCTTGCAATCATCTTGTCCTCTTGAATTTGCACTCTTCTCCTTTTCTCTTGGGTAGGTTCTTCTTTCCTTAGTTCTTCCAAGGTGTTTTTCTCACTCTAGGCCGACTCCTCTTCACTCCCCTTCCAAATGGTAAAGAGGAACTTCTATATTGAATCCGGGTTCCGTAACTGCTTGAAGCCATAGCCTGTGTGTCTGTCATGGCCCAAGGCAAGGATACTTGCCAAAATGCGCTGCAAAGGAGGCATCATGGCCAGAGGTCACAGATTGACCTTGGCTGTGACTAGTCTCAGAAGTGAAATAATGCATTTGTCACGGCCATTGTCACGATTGTGACCTTCCCTTGATCTCCAATACGCAGGTCATGACATTATTCTAGTCGTGACCATGGTGGTGATATCCTTCTCTCCTTGTTATGCTTTGGAATGCATACGGTTGAGCCCCATATCGATCCCCAATGGCATCACAATGAGTATACGACCTAGAACGTCACCAAAAACACAAACCAAGCATAAAACATGACAAAAGGGGTGTTCCTTAAGGCTAAGACAAGCAAAAATGTCTAAGACATAAGGGCTAAACACGTGCATACTAGAGGTTATCAATATTAATGGGAAATGAAACTCACTCACACATTAAAAAAAACTGTTTAGCTGACGACTTGCTGGTTGTTTTCTTTCCTTTTGGCAGCCAAGTGAGCACAATACGTATGCTGATGTAGACGCTGTGTATAGGTGCCTGGAAGAGAAATATGGGGCAAAACAAGAAGATGTCATTTTGTATGGACAATCAGTCGGTAGTGGACCTACTCTAGATTTGGCGATTCAGTTGCCAAGATTGAGGGCTGTTGTTCTCCACAGCCCCATTGCTTCTGGTCTCCGTGTGATGTATCCTGTTAAGAGGACGTATTGGTTTGACATATATAAGGTTGTTACATCACTATGTTTTTCTTACTTTCATTTTCAGTACCTCCGAGTTATTTAATATTTTTCTGTTGTCCTGCAAGTTATCTAATAGTTTTTTGCTTTTGTGATTCAGAATGTTGACAAAATTCCATTTGTAACATGTCCAGTGCTTGTGATTCACGTAAGTGTTTTTGCTGTTGAGGATGGTTAATGACCTCCACAAATTTTATTTAGTCTAGTATGAGTGCTATTTTTTTCTCTCTCTCGCTTTCATTGGATGGTAAATTTTGTGAACTGCCATCTTAATACCCTATTGGTAGTCTAGGTGGTGATGATGCAGCAAGCATGTATTTCAACAAATACCAACTTTCTTAGTAAACTCAGATGCATATTGCAGGTTTCCGTTTTGCTTTAAGCATTATTCCTTCTGCTAATCTGATGAAATGGTTCAAGCTTTTGTGGGAATCTAGGGCATGCTGAAATTTGGTGGTTTTTGTTGCATTTCATCTTTCTGTGGCTGGATTCAAGTTTTCGGATAATGTCATTTCATCCATACATTAAACAAGGGATGCCCTGAGAGTAATCCTCAATCATGTTTATCCTCTCCATAAACTGCATTGTTTTCCTTTTTTAATCAATTCAGCCCATCATGATTGCCCGTTACAGATACTAAATAACTACTGAAAGCCAAAAGCCATGTCCATTCTAGTTCACATTGTATTTCTGTATCTGTCATAACGTACTAAGAACAGTATACCACTTTGTGATAATTATAGGTTCAGAAGTCAGATTTCTTACCTTTCATCCCGATAAAAATGAGCTTGTTGGCCAAAACCAAGGCATCTCAGATTGGGCTTACATGGACACTTTCCTTCTGCACTTGCTCTGTGCACAGTAACATTATTCAAGTCCAAACATTCTGCTTCTGAAAGAATACAGTGTTATGCATGTTATTAGCTTAGTGCATTCATGGCTTTGTACTTGGGTAGACTGATTAACATTGTGTGGTCCATCATTACCTGAAACCTTGAGATATTTTCGTCTGAATTTGCAAGCGCCAATTTGTTTGATGCTCTCTGTGTGCAGTAAATAGTTATGTCTTCGGTAGGAACTCCTATATTTCTTGTTTAACTGGGTAAAATGCTAGATTCATTGTCTCTGTTTTCAAGCACAGGTAAAATGGATTATTTATTTGTTTGTCACTCCCTACAGGGAACTTCTGATGATGTTGTGGACTGGTCTCACGGCAAACAGTTGTGGGAACTCTGTCAAGAGAAGTACGAGCCATTATGGGTGAAGGAAGGGAACCATTGTGATCTGGAGATGCATCCACAGTACATCAAGCATCTCAAGAAGTTCATATCAGCCATTGAAAAATCTGGTGTGAGGATTGGATCCATTGCACCCATAGAACTGTCCCAGAAGCCTAGGAAGAGCACAGATGTGAGAGAACCTTCTAGATCAAGCGTCGACCAGAGAGAGAAGGTTAGGCTGAGCACGGAGCTCCGAGAAAAGCCTAGGCCTAGCATGGATTGGAGAGAAAAATCGAGAGTCAGTATTGACCGGAGGGAAAGGTCAAGGAAAAGTGTGGATCGGCCTGAGAAGGAAAACCTTAGTCTGGATCAGCATGATAAAGCAAGGAACAGTATTGATCGGTAAGCTAGTTGATGATTTTTTTCCTTCTAATTTACGAAACCTGTGTGGAAGAAGAAGAAAAGGACCCAAGTTCACATTCTTCTCTTTCCCACAAGACATGCCTTTTTCTAACTGTTGGTTGATACTATGATGGCAGTTTCGGTTCCATGATACGTTCTGTTGGATTATGCAATATTGATTGTTTCAAGCCCACAGCTACAGCTCTCTAAGCAAGTGAAAAGGTGAATCTGCGGATTGGAGTTGCTGCTTCTTCAGTTAAGATTATTTGATAACATGTGATTGGGGTTCTTTTAGTGATAACAAAATTTCCTTAGAAGAACAGGAATTGGATTTGGTTCAAGCAGGAATAGGCTTTTTATTTTTTCCCACGGCCATGGTCATCGTTGCTTAAAATTCGCTAAACTTATCTTTGTACATATTACATAAATGTAATGAAATTTTTCTCGGGCTTAGCTGGACACAACAGTGCATCATAATTCATACATTTCCGGAGCCAGTATCCGAAGATGGTGATCGAGGGAACTTGGTAAGTTTTTGGTGTAATGTTCCATATCCAGTAAAGGTGTCAATAGTACCGCTTCGGATTGGTTCAACCGGTTACGGGTTAGTCGAGTTTTGGGTTAATCGGATTACGAGTAAGGTGTGTTTGAGTTGCGGGTTCATCGGGTTGCATGCCAATCGAGTTTCGGGTTCATCTGGTTGCAAGTTTATTGGATTGCGGGTTAATTGGGGTACGGGTTGATCGAGTTATGTGTTGGGCGGGTTGAGCGCTGATCAGGTTGATCCAAGTTGGATCAGATAAGCGCATTATGTTACTTACTCTTTTACTCATTCCAACTTACACTAATCAAACATTTTTCGCAATTTTTAGGAATTTATATATGTACTTATGAAAAACGGTAGGAGTACTTATAAAGGTTAAAAATTTGTCAAAGTCTTGAATTAATTTTATATTCTTTTAGATACTTGAGTTATCGCAATCGTATGACCCAATATACCAAGTTTAACCCTTATTTTGAAATCAAAATGCAACTCGAGCATAAGTTAAATGAGCCAAATCTTTTTGTCATTGTGTAAAATAAAGATCATGAAGTACAGTAGAAGTTGCAATAAGTTGCAATAAATGTAGAAGTATAGAAAATAAGTAGATAAATTAAGTGAACTTTTCTAAACAAATGATTGTTGAAACTAATGGTTAATTTAACAATCATATATATAGTGGCGTATTCGGTGCACTCACTTTTTTGTGTGCATTCAGTGCACTCGCTTCATAACCGTTATTTTAAACATGTGATTTATGTCAAAATGATGTCAATCATCACTTATGATGTGATGAACAATAACGCACATGAATTTGCATAAAAATCATTAAAGATTTACTTTAATTTGAAGGATTTAGAGTTTAGAGATTTAGGGTTAGGGTTTACAATTTGGGGTTTAGGGATAGAACTCAAAATTGGAGGTCTAGGGCTTAGGATAATCCGCTAATTAGTTGTTGTCATATGTTATATCATCATATTACACTAATTCTACAAATTAAAATTCAAAATCCAACACCTTAAGACTAGTTTTTGAGTTGGGTGCATTGAACGCACTCATTTTTGTGAGTGCACCGAAGTAGTCACCATATATATATATATAGGCCAAAACTACGGTGCTGCAGTAAAAAGTGCGACACCGGTGACGCCAATTTTGATTGGTCCACGTTAGATGTGATGTGGCACGGGCTGACTTCATTGAATCCAAGCCCAAAAACAATAATTCATCAAACCAGCTACTCAAACAAACGGAAAGAAGTGATTCCGTCTACCTCCCGTTTTGTTTGATTTTTTCCTTATTAATTAAGATAAAATTTATTTATGTATTTTTAACTGCATTTGTTTTTCGGGGAACAATCCCCGGTGAAGCCGTGAAGCAGCAGGCTTCTATCTCCGTCGAGGTACTCTGGCGGCACCGTAAAGAAGGTATCTCCTTCTGCGTCATACCCGTCGCTCTTTGCTCCTGCCTTCATCATGGTAAAGCTAACCATGGAATAAATGCAAGCAGTAACACAGCCTGAAGGAATTCGGTGGTGAGAGCAAAATCTAGCTACCACAAAATTTTACAGGGAGAGAACAAGTTAGCGATAAAGGTCTATCCAAGTTGATAACAGATCTAATCTTCTGAATTCGCACAATCTGAATTCAAATCGATGACCTCGATTACGGGCAAAATCAGAGGAAGATGAGATTCTAGGACGGAAGCGGTGACGGAATTCATTGGAGGAGGAATACAATGAAGGATTTACTGCTCGGTATGGAGTTTGGGTCGGCGATTGTGGAGTTCGCCGGAGCACTTTCCTCTTTTCAGAATCAGACGAGTGACCGATAGAGGAAGACGATTGTGGCGTCTACTTTTCGTTCGTTTTTTTTATTATAAGAGTTTGTTTTTTTAGGAAGACAGACTTAGTGGAAAAAAGAAAAAGGGCGTGGGAAGATAGACTTTCCTGTTTGATTGCGGGTAGCTGGGTTCGACCACTTTTAATGGGCCACCGTGTTTGGACCGATAAACCAACGCCACATCAGTTTCATGTGGACCAATCAAAAATTGCGTTACCGGTGCCGCACTTTTTACAGCGGCACCATAGTATTGCGATACCCCGGATTTCACCCTCGGTACCGTAGAACTATATAAAAGATTGGTAATATAACTTCATACTCTAAAATAGTCAAATTAGTTCATATAAACTATGTTGATTGTCAGAAGTTGTTAAATTAGTTCGTATAATGTAAATTATAACAAAAGCGATTGATTTATTATGATATATGACTCATGATGGCTTTCTCTAATATAATATAACCAATTAATCATTTCCTATAAGGGTATAACAATGTCTTAGTTGTTTGATGGATTTGGTGATGGATTTGATGATGGTTTTGGATTTATTATGGACTTTGTCCAAAGTCTATTGTTTGCTTCTTTTTTTTAGGGTTAATACCCTAATTTGGCCCGAAGTTTGGCGTTAGTGTCAGTTTTGACCCGACTTTTCGAATAAGACAGTTGTAGCCTACTTTTAAAAGTATTGGACAAATTTGGCCCGCATTTTGAATTGATCGTCAAGATTAAGGGTCAACGATTTTTTCGCTAGTGACTCAACATTCAGTGTTGAGGTGGTTGCCACGTGACTGCCATATCATTCATTTATATTAAAATAATCGGCTGAATTACACGTTTGGTCACTCAAATTATACTAATATTTCACGTTTGCCACTCGAATCACTTTTCTTTCTTATTTGCCACTAACTTTATGAATTGTTTCACCGTTAGTCACCAGCCGTCTAACTCCGTTAAAATCATCCTACATGGCCATCAACTAAGCCATTTGACCGTTAGTTTGATGATGTGGCAATTGAAAAAATTAAAAAATAAATATATTAAATTTTCAAATTAAAAATACTTTCTATCTTCTTTCCCCTTCCATCACGCGTTGGTGGTCGGCGAGGAGAATAAGGGGTGGCGACGAGGCGGTGCGATGTGGCGACGTGGTCTGACTGAGATGATGATATCAGCTTCGCGCACCTCGTCAGCAGCTGCCACACGTGGATTGCAGACGTGCCGAAAGAGGAGGATGGCAGCAGTGTGTGTGGCGGTGGTAGTGTTAAGGGCAGTGCTTCAGAGTGTTTTCAGTTTCATGAATGGGTTCTCCTGGGCCGAGAGTCAACTGTGCGACGCCGGCGACTACTTCTCACGGTCGCCTCGGCCGTCTCGCCTCACCAAGGAGGAAGAGCTCACCATCATGGTCTCCGCACTTAGGAACGTGGTCTCTGGCACCACCAATTCAGCTCGCGCTCATGAACTGCACCGATTCCCATTCAATCTAGCGGCGTCGGTGTCGGTTTTGGAGCAACTCCAATCCGCGAGGTTCGACATACGCGACGGGCTACAAGGGTGTGGCTGGGGACATTTAACACCGCGGAGGACGCGGCACGGGCTTACGATAGGGCTCGGCGCAAACCAAGCTCAATTTCTCCTTCCCGGATCACATTCAGATTGCTGGAAGCTCGGAGTCGAATCAAACGGCGGGATCGGAAAAGGCGAAATGTAAGTGCGTGAGAGAAGAAATACTGAAGGTGGAGAAGATAGACGATTGATGGCAATGGGATCGGGAAGTTGTAGTGAAATGATTAGTGGAGAACATGAGGAGTTTCAGGAATGGATCGGATGAGGATGATGATGGATTTCCTCTAAGGCTGAGCTTCCAGTTTCACCCGTTGCTCCTCCTCATCGACCACCAACGCGTGAAGGAAGGGGAAGGAAGATAGAAAGTATTTTTAAATAATTAATTAATCAATTAATTGCCACATCATCAAACTAATGGTTAAAGGGCTTAGTTGACTGCCATGTAGGATGATTTTAACGGAGTTGGACGGCTGGTGACTAATGGTGAAACGATTCGTAAAGTTAGTGGCGAATAAGAAAGAAAAGTGATTCGGGTGGCAAACATGAAAGATTAGTATAATTTGAGTGACCAAACATGTAATTTAGCCTAAAATAATCCTAAAAATTTTGAAAAATAAAAAAAAGAAATTAAAAGTTAAAAAGTAAAGGTCACTTTCATCTTCTCTCGTCCCACCTCCAACCCGATCCCCTCAAATCCCCAATTCTTCTTTACCCTGACCAAACAAATGGACGTGAGATGAGATGAGATTTTTTGGTTATGGCTTGAGATGTAGAAAGAGGGTTATGGGGGTACAGAGCCGAAGAAGACGCGGTGGGGTTCGAGCACAGCGGCGGAATCCTCCCAACAAACGCCGTTGGGTTGAAAGGGAAGATGTAGATATAGAAATCTTCTCGGCTAGGTAGTCACAGATCTTAGCCTCTATTCCTCTTACTCGATGTCGACGCAAACTCAGGCGGCGATCTGGATTGGAGGTCGGAATCTCGGACTTTACAATCGCCTTCGTTTTTTGACTGTTGGCCGACTTCTTCCTATCGATCTAGAGCCAACGACGGAAATAAGCTGTTGCTGCTGCTGGGCAATTAAAGAAATCAGACCATTGACGCTGGGATCAGGTTTGAGAAGACGGATTGAAGATTTGGCGGAAGGTAGTAGGAATTTGGGGGATTTTGGGGAACGGAAGATGGAAGTGGCGGTTCATTTCTCCTTGTTTGCCAGATAAAGATGGAAGCGGAGGATTGAAGATTTTGCCGGCACTTCTCCTCAATCGACGGCCTTGCCGGCGGCTTCGCCACCCACCTCCTCCATTTCTTTAGACGGTAATGGAGCCCATAAAGCTCGACATCACTGCCGGGCTCGGCATAACCATCATACACACCGCTGCGATCATGACCTGGAGATCCAATCGCTTCACGAACTCTCCAACATGACTCCTAGATTGGATTTTAGGGATTTGTTGTTTCACATTTTCTATTTTTTTTTTAATTTATCATTCAAGCTAAATAAATGACATGGCAGC